CTGGCAGTTATTCCTCCTCTTGTGGGGCCCTCTGAGGTATGTTCCCCTTCTTAGAACAGCACAAAGGTTTCCTGAATGCTGTGGTACAGCCAGCATGGTTTATTTTTTCTGAGAATCCTCAACCTTGCCCTTCTGGCTTGTGCGTGCTACCAGACCAGGAAGAGGTGCCAGGTTTGGACAAATTTTTCAAAACTGCTATGGGATGGTCCCCTCACTGCCTGAATTCACCCATTCCCAAACCAAAGTCTGGGCACAGGCAGAGGCTAGCGCCAGCCAGACCAGAAGAGTCTTGTCCAAGCTGAGATGTGCCTGGCTAGATCTCCCCCAGATCACAGCTGATGGCCAGGCCCTGCAGCAGGGGAACCAACCGTAAGGCTGTGATAAAAAATGCACATGTGTCAAGGGGATGCCACAGGACTCCGTAGAGTGCGCTACTTAGGCCCTGAAGAAACACGACTTAGAGGATGGCACTACAGCCCATGAACGGAAGGAGTTTTCTAAGAAGTACACCCACGCCTGACGCTGCGTCAAGTGGAGGAAGTAAGTGAAACATCACACAATTTGGATACATCAGTTTCAAGATGTTGTTTTAACCAATCTGTGGGGCAGTTGAGAAAATATTTGTATGTTTCTGTTCTAGCAGAGAGCACAGCACAGTGCATGAAAGAACAGGGCTATCAGGAAATACTGAGACGGTCCCACAAGTTGGAGCGTGGTGTATGGGGAAGGAAAAGAGAACTCACATGGAAGACAGCCACTATGTGCTCTTAAGTAGGGAAGGGATAGGATCAGAATTCTTTGGGAAGAAAAACTTTGAAGAACATCTAAAATGTTCCTTACTCATAATAAACCTGTTTGTTTTTAGAGGAAATCTGCTTAACTATTAAAATAAATATTTACATTGGGAATACTTAATTGAATAGCTTTTTTCACATTTTCTAAAGGGTCACAGAAGTTTCATTTGTTTTAAGCAGTTGAGTTGGTAAAGATCCTGTCTCTCTACTCCATAGGAAATGAATTACATTCAATTACACCTCCCAACAGCCAACTGGAAGATTATTCCATTGCTTCTGAAGCACTGGTTGGGTTGGCATCTGTGATGGTAGCCAAATAAATGAGATTTCTATGTAACACATGCTGGTGCTGGGTGCACTCATTTGCCAGGCCTTAGTGTTCTGATACTCCACAACATAGTGGATCAGTTAAATCACTCTT